TGTAATGTCTTTAGATGAGATGAAGTCTGATTATTGAAGACTTTCTATGTGAAGAGAATAATTTTTCAGTGAGCCAATTAAGAGAAGTCAGGATTGGAGAATTGGCCATCTTTCCTTTAGTCTGTACCATTATTACTGCAAATAAATCTGACCAACATAAATAGAAAACAAAAATCAACATAGAAAAATACAGCAATACTTAACTAAAGCCCACATGAGGAAAAAAGCCTCCTTTGTCCCAAAACAAAGCGTAACCTGATACACTCCATTTCTCCTCTCACAGTGAAACGGTTTTTCAATTACCTTGACATACAAAAACACTCCAAGGACAGACAATGAATCACGAAAAACTCTGCTGTTCAGTCTGTCTGGATCTAGTGAAGGATCCAGTGACTATTTCTTGTGGACACAACTACTGCATGAGCTGTATTAAAGTCCACTGGAATAATGAGGATCCAAAAGGAGCCTACAGCTGTCCTTAGTGCAGAAAAATCTTCATACTGAGGCCTGAGCTGGTGAAAAACACTATGTTAGCAGAGTTAGTAGAGGACTCTAAGATACCTGGAATCCAACCTGCTCCTGCTGATCTCTGCTATGCTGGACCTGAAGATGTTTCCTGTGATGCCTGCACTGGAAAAAAGCTGAAAGCATTGAAGTCCTGTCTGGTATGTTTGGTTTCTTACTGTAAGCAACACCTCCAGCCTCACTATGACTCCTCTGCCTTTGACAAACACAAGCTAATCAAACCATCAAACAGGCTGAAAGGGAACATCTGTTCAACTCATAATGAGATGATGAAGATGTTCTGCCGTACTGATCAAAAATGTATCTGCTATCTCTGCTGTGTGAATGAACATAAACGCCACAACACAATTGAAATGCAAAAAGAATTTGAGGTGATTTTGCAAAATGTTCACCGGAGAATTCAGACCAAAGAAGGAGAAGTGAACGTGCTTAGGAAGGAAATCGAGGAAATTCTGCAATCTTCTGATAGCGCTGAGAAGGACATTGAGACCATCATCAATGAGCTGGTGAGTTTCATTAAAGAAAAAGGCTCAAATCTAAAGCAGCAGATCAATTTCCAGCAGAAAACTGAAGAGAGGCGAGTCAATAAGCTTCAGAATAAATTGAAGCAGGAGATCACTGAGCTGAAGAGGCAAGAAGAGGAGCTAAAGCCGCTTTCATACACAGTGGACCACACCGAATTTTTATGCAGTTACTCCCAAATCCCCAAACTCACTGATTCTATTGACTCACCAAGCTTCAGAATTTGTCCAGTTAAATACCTTGACAATCTTGAAAGGGCAGTGTCAGAAGCCAGAGATAAACTCAAAATGTTTCTAAGTGAGGAATGGAGTAAACTCACTCTTAGAGTAAGATCACCAGATGTTTCACTGCCACAAGCACAACCTAAGTCCAGAGATGAGTTTTTAAAATATTCATGTCAACTGACAACGGACCCAGATACAGTGCACCGAAAACTCTTTCTATCAAATCAGAACAGAACCGTATCAGACAATGCTACATCTCCATGTAAGAACTCCGGTCTTAAAAAAAGAGACAGGTTGAACAGCAGGTCCTGAGCAAAGAGAGTCTGATTGGACCTTGTTACTGGGAAGTGGAATGGAGAGGTCATACAAAAAATGAGCACAAACTGGATCAAAGTGGCTTTGGATACAATAATGCTTCCGTACGGCAGAAAATCTTCAACACGACCTTCAAATTCAGACATAAAAACATTACAAATCCCATCTCAGGCCCTCTGTCCTTCAAAGTAGACGTGTACGTGGATCCCAGAGGAGGTATCCTGTCCTTCTACAGTGTCTGTGACTCCATGACCCTCCTCTACAGAGTCCAGACCACATTCACTGCACCACTTTATGCTGGACTGTGGATTTGGAAGAGTTATTGGACTGACACCACTGCTACATTTAATGAGCTGAAGTAGACTGTGCTTATTACCAAATATAACACCATAAAAGAAAAAAAAATCTGTTTTGTTTGCCTATTTCTGCTCACTGGTCAAGGGCCAGTCAAACCATCTTACAGTAAAATTCTAAGTTTTTAGGTAGGTAGCTTGTTGTTCTTTCTCCTTGGCAGCATGGAAAAAACATGAAATATTGACAGTAATGTAATATATTTCCTCCTGTACTTATGAACATGTATGAATATAAAAATACAGCATGTGGCTTTATATAGTTGGAATTTATATTTTTTCTGTAATGTTAATCTTAGAAAAAGGTATCTTGTTTTTCATCTTACCCAGGCAAACTACCATCCCAAACATTACTCACAAACATTGTCGCATGTCAAGGCTTAGATCAACAATGAAGTCAATAAATCAAACAAATAGTAAAAGACAAGAAGAAATACATAAAAATTAGACAGACTGACAAAGAAATTAGTCTAACTTCTTTAAGATTGTTCGTTTTTAATGAAAATGACCCCTGTCAGAGTGTAATGACCTAATAGTTGTGCGAATTTAGAATTTTAAGTGACTGTCCTATTCTGCTCTGGGGAACAGGGCAGTGGCGACGTGATAGCAACTTCCTGAACTCAGTTGGTTACTCATATGATTACTAATGTCTTTTCCTGTCATCTACTTAATCACTTACTGAATAAATACTGTATATATAAAAAGAAAAATACAAAAACATAAACACTTTGCTAACTATGTAAAGAAATCAAAATAATAAAGCTGACTAATTATGAATAATACATAGAGTACTATATTTATTGTGTGTTCACTTCATGAATTTGGTGACTGCTGCTGTAGAAAAAGCTCCAAAAGACCTCGGATTTTGGCAGGACCCAGAAAGCAAAGTTACACAACAGATCATAAGTAAGTGTCTTTATTTTTCAACAAAAGGAAAGGGGTATGTAGAGCCAGGATCAGGGCAGTCATAACATGTTTAACAAGCAAATAGGGATTGTCTGTAAAGAAGGAGGGAAAAAATTAGTCAGAACAGGAATGGCAGGGAGAACATAAATTGCGAGACGAGATCCGGGGAGTTGGTCAGTGGTCACTGATCAATGATCAGTGGTCACTGATTAAAAGTCTTTGATCTGTGGTTGTTGATCAATGGTCATGACAATTTGAATATTAACAAGAAACTGACCTCACAGCCCATTGTTCACCAGTGGTGCTAGTTTCAGTCATTGTGCAAAGGTACTGTTTATAAAGTTGGGGAAACCTGCAGTCAGATGAGACTGAAAAAATCACATGGATGATTGACGAAATGTTTCTCGTACTGAAAATGCTACGTCTAGATGAACAGAATCAACTTTTAGGGAGGATATCACATCATTTTTTCACAATGCCCCCATGCTCTTTTATTCTGTATACAGCCCCTTTTTCCCTCTCCCATGCATGTAATCCGTCTAACCTAAGGAATGTTTAGTCCTCATTGGTTATAGACAATATCACTCAAATAGGAGTAGGTCAAGCTGTTTAATACAACTTATTAAAATAAACTCAAAATAAATAATAGAAAGAATGGAACAAAGACTCGTGGTCTCAAAGTCTCAAGGAGGGAAGTAAAACTTGCTAAAATAAACACAATAAACACATGCAAAACAGCAAACCACCATAGCATCCAATGAAAATTAATAGCGAAATACTTCCATTGGATGACTCTCACTCATGGAAACATTTTTCCAAGCCCGGTTCGAGCTCAGGCTTGGACAGTCTCGGTCGTTGTGTCCTTGGGCAAGACACTTCACCCGTTGCCTACTGGTGGTGGTCAGAGGGACCAGTGGCGCCAGTGTCTGGCAGCCTCGCCTCTATCAGTGCGTCCCAGGGTGGCTGTGGCTACAATGTAGCTTGCCATCACCAGTGTGTGAATGTGTGGATGACTGGATGTGTAAAGCGCTTTGGGGTCCTTAGCAGTGTTGGGAAGATTACTTTTAAAATGTATTCCACTACAAATTACAGAATACATGCCCCAAAATGTATTCTGTAACATATTCCGTTACGTTACTCAATGAGAGTAACGTATTCTGAATACTTTGGATTACTTAATATATTATCATGCTGTTTACAACTACGTGAATGTACTATTGC